ACATCACATCACATCACATCACATCACATCACATCACATCAGCTACTTCCAATCTTAAAATCCTTCCATGGCTTTTAATTCCTCTTAAGAGGAAGAAAGGAATCTTCCATAATGTCTGCAAGGCCCTGCCTGATCTCACATCACTCTCTCCTTATTGCCTCCACTGATGTCTTCAGTGGAATCTGAGGGGCATTGGCCTTCTTCCTTGGGCTTGGGAAACGCAATAATACATTACAAGCATCTCTCAGGATGAGAGTGATTCTGTAGATGGCCACTCCTAACGGTCTTATGTTGATCTTTCTTAGCTACAGTTAAAGAGAAGGCCTTGTCTGTTAGACCTCAGAAGGTGTTTTCCTTGGAGCCTGTATTAGGATTCTCTGGAGGGAAGAACTAATAGGATAGATGTATATATGAAGGGAATTTATTAAGGAGTATTGACTCACACGATCACAAGGTCCCATAATAGGCCATCTGCAAGCTGAGGAGCAAGGAAGCCAGTCCAAGTCCCAAAACCCCAAAAGTAGGGAAGCCGACAGTGCAGCCTTCAGTCTGTCGCCGAAGGCCCAGGAGCCCCTGGCAGACCACTGGTGTAAGTCCAAGAGTCCAAAAGCTGAAGAGCTTGGAGTCTGCTGTTCGAGGGCAGGAAGCATCCAGCATGGGAGAAAGATGGAGGCCAAGAGACTCAGCAAGTATGCTCATTCTACTTTTTCTGCCTGCTTTATTCTAGCCATGCTGGCAGCTGTTTAGATGGTGCCCACCCAGAATGAGGGTGTGTTGCCCTCTCCCAGTTCACTGATTCGGATGTTAATCTCCTTTGGCAACACCCTCACAGACCCAGGAATGATACTTTGCATCCTTCAATCCAAATCAAGTTGACACTCAATATTAGCCATCACAGAGCCCAAGACTCTACATACCTAACACAAGCTATGTGGTTCTTGTTGATGGATATTGTTTGTGAATGAAAGAATGAACTATCTTTAAAATGTAGATTTTCGTGTGTGTGTGTGTGTGTGTGTGTGTGTGTGTGTGTGTGTGTGTGTTTTGAGACAGTCTCCCTCTGTTGCCCAGGCTGGAGTGCTGTGGTGGGATCTCGGCTCTCTGCATCTTCCACCTCTCAGGTTCAAGTGATTCGTCTTCCCCAGACTCCAGAGTAGCTGGGATTACAGGTGCATACCACCACACTTGGCTAATTTTTGTATTTTTCATAGAGATGGAGTTTCACTAAGTTGGCCAGGCTGGTCTCAAACTCCTGACCTCAAGTGATCCACCTGCCTCAGCCTCCCAAAATGATGGGATTACAGATGTGAGCCACCGTGCCTGGCCTAAAATGTAGATTTTCTTGGTCCCCTCTTGATTATGAGACTATGATCCAGGAAATTGACAGGGGAATCACTCTTAGGAACACTTGCAGTGTCTCTACAGATTTCTTTGTTTTCCCGTTGTAGCCATGGAAATAAAGAAACCTTCTCTTGCCGGGGAATCAAGCTGGCTGTGGACTGGTTCAGGGACAGAGGACACACCTACATCAAAGTTTTTGTTCCTTCCTGGAGGAAGGACCCACCAAGAGCTGACACCCCTATCAGAGGTATGCTGGGGCAGATGTGTGCTCGGGAGGCACTAGGCACACTTCCGTGGTGCACTCCTAACATCCACAGTCAAATTCTACTTGACGTTTGTCCTCCTCACTGTACTATAAGCTCCATGAAGGCTCCGATTATGAATGTTCAATGCCATTGCCCTAGCACCCAGCACCTAGGGTGACACCTGGTATTCAAGAGGTAGTTCAAAGTTAGGTGTTCGATAAGCAATTATTGAGTAGATGAATGAATAAATTACTCTTTTAGTGTGAATAATTAAGTTGTCAAAACAATTGTGCCTGACAACTTTTAACACCTGAAAAGAGACTGGATCTGTATTCCACTCCTAATAGTTTATAGCATTTGAAAGAGGCATTTATTTGGTCAGATAATATTTAGTTACTGAATACCTCATCTAATCTCTTTATTTAAAAAGAAGAAGACAACTGAGACCTAGGGAATTCTTTTTTTTTTTTTTTTTGATATGGAGTCTTGCTCTGTCATCCAGGCTGAAGTGCAGTGATGGGATCTCGGCTCACTGCAACCTCCGCCTCCTGGGTTCAAGCGATTTTCCTGCCTCAGCCTCTCCAGTAGCTGGAACTACAGGCATGCACCACCACACCCAGATAATTTTTGTATTTTTTAGTAGAGATGGGATTTCACCATGTTGGCCAGGATTGTCTCGATCTCTTGACCTCGTGATCTGCCCACCTCAGCCTCCCAAAGTGATGGGATTACAGGCGTAAGCCACTCTGCCCAGCTTTTTCATTTTTAATTCTTAAATCAGGAATATTTTAAGCTACAAATATTGGAACACTGCAGTTTTATTTATTTATTTATTTTTGAGTCTCATGCAGTAGTACAGGCTGGAGTGCAGTGGTGCTATTATGGCTCATTGCAGCCTTGCTTTCCCCTGGCTCAGGAGAACCTCTTACCTCAGCCTTCTCAGTAGCTGGGACTATAGGTGCACACCACCATACTTGGCTAGTTTTTTTGTTTTTTTTTTTGACACAGAGTCTCATTCTTGTTGCCCAGGCTGGAGTGCAATGGCGATATCTTGGCTCACTGCAACCTCTGCCTCCCAGGTTCAAGCAATTTTCCTGCTTCAGCCTCCTGAGTAGCTGGGACTACAGGAGTGTGCCACCATACCCAGATAATTTTTGTATTTTTAGTAGAGATGGGGTTTCACTATGTTGGACAGGCTGGTCGTGAACTCCTGACCTCAGGTGATCCACCCGCTTCAGCCTCCCAAAGTGCTGGGATTACAGGCTCGAGCCACTGCACCCGGCCCTGGCTAGTTTTTGTATTATCTGTAGAAATGGGGTTTTGCCATGTTGCCCAGGCTGGTCTTTAACTTCTGGGCCTAAGCAATCCCTCTGCCTCGGCCTCCCAAAGTGCTAGGATTATAGGCATGAGCCACCACGCATAGTCAGAGCACTGTGGTTTAAACAAAAAAGGTCTTGTTTGTTGTTTGGCTTTGTATACAGGTTGAGCATCCCTTATCTGAAATACTTGGGACCAGAAGTGTTTTGAATTTCTAAATATTTTTATTATGCTTACTGCTGAGCATTCCTAAACCAAAAATCCCAAATCTGAAATGCTCCCATGAGCATCTCCTTTGAACATCATGTTGGTTGGATTTTCGGATTAGGGATGCTCACTGGTGAGAAAAGATCAGATGCAAAGCTCTTTATTATTAAGGTCAAGTGTTTTGTACTCGACATAATTGTATGTGCTAGACATTGACACAACTGGCAGCACAGTAGGGCGTTTCCACCAGCATTTTCTCGGACACGTGAGTCATGTGTCACACTACAAGGTCAGGATGGCTACGATGATAGGGATTTTCAACTCTGTTACAGTTTTCTGGGACCACTGTCACGTATGTGGTCTGAAACATAGTTATGCAGTGCATGACTGTGTATCTATGCAATTGCCATGGGTTTTCTCTCCTAGCATGAGAACTTCTCCCTGAATGGCACTGCAGGCCATTTGTGTTGACTGGCAGTTTTCACTTTAGCATACCCGGCATGGAGGAGGCAGGCAGCCTGGCGCCTCTGCCCGCCACTTATTCCAATGGCAGAATGATGATGGTTTTATTCTAGCAGGACAACAGCCCCAGGAGAGGTTTCCTCCTTGCTGGTTGTGTCTTCACTTTCTTTATAGTGATAGGGATGGGAAAATGAGGGGTGGTTCATGCCACTCATTTCCCATCCCTATGGCTATAATCCGGAGCAGCTGCCCGGGAGTAGCTCACCTGTTGGTCAGTCATCCCGACTTTGCCTGACGTCCACTCCATCTCCACCGCCTGGAGTGCTCCAAGACTGCAGGGAAATGGTGCCCACCTCCGCTCCAGCCTTCTGTGCACATTCTGGGCCGTGCTTCCCTCCACTCTGCGGAATCAATATGATCCTCTCTGCTTTCTGTCTTCCTAAAATATGTCAAAATCCTGGGTTTGCTGATATCCCCAAACCTACTTTTAATGTGATTATAGATTCTGCCCCCCACCTCACCTTTCATTATATTGGGACTATGAGAAGGAGGGAGTATAAATACTTGTGTTCAGTTCCCATCATGAACTGGCTGCTCCAAATTATTCTTTCTGGTCTGAATATGAAGAATGGTGAATTTCTTTCTTTCTTTCTTTCTTTCTTTTTTTTTTTTTTATGATGGAGTCTCACTCTGTCACCCAGGCTGGAGTGCAGTGGCGTGATCTTGGCTCACTGCAACCTCCACCTCCCAGGTTCAAGTGATTTTCCTGCCTCAGCCTCCTGAATAGGTGGAATTACAGGCAAGTGCCACCACACTTGTCCAATTTTTGTATTTTTAATAGAGACAGGGTTTCACCATGTTGGTCAGGCTGGTTTCGAACCCCTGACCTAAGGTGATCCACCTGCCTCAGCCTCCCAAAGTGCTGGGATTACAGGCATGAGCCACTGTGCCTGGCCCAAGAATGGTGAATTTCAATAGTAGTGTAATACTTACATATAATATGGGAAAAAGTAGAGAAATTACTTTGGGGAAAGGAAGGAATTTTTTTTTTTTTTTTTTTTTGAGACGGAGTTTCGCTCTTGTTACCCAGGCTGGAGTGCAATGGCGCGATCTCGGCTCACCGCAACCTCCGCCTCCTGGGTTCAGGCAATTCTCCTGCCTCAGCCTCCTGAGTAGCTGGGATTACAGGCACGCGCCACCATGCCCAGCTGAATTTTTTGTATTTTTAGTAGAGACGGGGTTTCACCATGTTGACCAGGATGGTCTCGATCTCTTGACCTCGTGATCCACCCGCCTCGGCCTCCCAAAGTGCTGGGATTACAGGCTTGAGCCACCGCGCCCAGCCTAGGAAGGAATTTTTAAACAAGCCACAAGTGCAAACTTACAAGAAAAGATGAATAAATTTGACTATACTAAAATAAAAGCTTTTGTCATCAACAGATACCACAAAAACAAAAAAGTGAAAAGACAGGCCTCAACCTGGGGTGAGGGTGTGGGGATGGGTTATATATCACACGTTTACCATTAGGGATTACTGCCTAGATCCAGAGATCTTCTCCAAATCAATGAGACAAAAACAATGAATCAACAGAAAGATGCACTAAAGCATGAATAAGCTGTTTACAGAAAAGAAAACATACATGGCCACATAAACATACAAACATATAAAAAGATGCTCAATCTCATTAGCAACCAGAGAAATGCAAAATAAAACCACAGTAGGAGGCCATTTTGTACCCACCAGGTTGGCAAAAATTCAAAAGCCTGAAAATGCCCAGTGTTGGCAAGGTTGTCTTATATGTTGTTTTGGGTATGTAACTTGGCATCACCACTTTGGAAAACAATTTGGCATTACCTTGTCAAGTGCCTTCCATACAGCTCAGCCATATTCACTCTTGGAGATATACCCTGAAGAGGCCCTTGCCTCTTCTGTGCCAGGGGCTTTCATGCAAGACTAACAGTGATGAACATATGACATAACCAAACCTCACAAACACGATGAGCGAAAAAGACAAGCAGCTTAAGCATATGTATGGTATCCATTTGTGTAAAGTCCAATGGATAACTATACTGAAAATGATCCTCAGCTGGGCATGGACTCACGCCTGTAATCCCAGCACTTTGGGAGGTTGAGATGGGTAGATGCTTGAGTCTAGAAGTTTGAGACCAGCTTGGGCAACATGACGAAACCTTGTCTTTACAAAAAATACAAAAAATAGCTGAGTGTGGTGGTGCATGCCTGTAGTCCGAGCTACACGGGAGGCTAAGGTAAGAGGATCACCTGAGCCTGGAAGGTAGAAGCCGCAGTGAGCCATGATTGTACTGCTGCACTCCAGCCTGGGCGACACAGTGAGATCTTGTCTCAGAAAGAAAAAAAAAAAAAAAAAAAAGAAGTCAGGCACGATGGCTCATACCTGTAATCCCAGCATTTTGGGAGGCCGAGGAGGATGAATCACAAGGTCAGGAGTATGAGACCAGGCTGGCCAACATGAGACAATGGTAAAATCTTGTCTCTACCAAAATATGAAAAAATTAGCTGGCGTAGTGGCGTTCGCCAGCAATCACAGCTACTCAGGAGGCTGAGGCAGGAGAATCGCTGAACCCGGGAGGCAGAGGTTGCAGTCAGCCAAGATCAGGCCACTGCACTCCAGTCTGGGTGGCAGAGTAAGACACCATCTTGGGGCAGGGCAGGGGGTGAGAAAGAAAATGATTCTCATAATCCATATTTTAAATAATAAAGGCAAGAACATTATAAACACGGAGTTCTAAAACTAGGGTTGTCCTAGGGGCTTAAGGGAAATGGAGAGGATTGCAGACTGAGGGGGCAGAGGGGACTTCCAAACACGGGCCACCTCCTCTTTCTCAAAGGAGGTGCTGAATATGTGGCATCTTTATTTTTGTTCTTTGTACCACAGACACATTATACACTTTTTTGTTTTTTTTTTTGAGATGGAGTTTCACTTTTGTTGCCCAGGCTGGAGTGCAATGATGCCATCTTGGCTCACTGCAACCTCCACCCCCTGGGTTCAAGCGATTCTCGTGCCTCAGCTTCCCGAGTAGCTGGGATTACAGGCATGTCCACCACGCCTAGCTAATTTGGTATTTTTAGTAGAAGTTTTCTCCATGTTGGTCAGGCTGGTCTCGAACTCCCGACCTCAGGTGATCTGCCTGTATTGGCCTCCCAAAGTGCTGGGATTACAGGCGTGAACCACCTCGCCCGGCCTCATTATGCACCTTTAAAAAAGTCAGCAAACTGGGCAGGGTGAGGTGGCTCACACCTATAATCCCAGCACTTTGGGAGGCCGAGGCCAGTGGATCACAAGGTCAGGAGATGGAGACCATCCTGGCTAGCACGGTGAAACCCTGTCCCTACTAAAAATACAAAAAATTAGCTGAGTGTGGTGGCGTGAGCCTGTAGTCCCAGCTACTGGGGAGGCTGAGGCAGGAGAATCACTTGAACCCGGGAGGCGGAGGTTGCAGTGAGCCGAGATCGTGCCACTGCACTCCAGTCTGGGCCACAGAGCGACACTCTGATTCAAATAAATAAATAAATAAACAGCACTCGATGTCATATGGGAAAGGACTTAAATTTGAGGGACCTGAGTAACTATTACATGTCAAAGAGATTTTTTTTTTCTGCATGTCTCTAACGGCAAAATTAAGATCAAACAGCTGACCTTCCTGGGATGCAGATTTTAGCCTCCGATAAGTAAGGCCTTATAATGCTTGTGCCATGTGGTACATGTTTACCTCTTGACTGGTTTTTGCAAGAGCTCTCACTAACTTGAGCTCAGTCCACTCATAAACACTGTGAGACAGGAAGAGGAGGCATTGGTATCTTCATTTTATGAGCATAAAACTGGACAGACATTAAACTGGGGTGAAGTACCCAGGAACAGGAGCCCGGCCAAGACTCCAGGCTGGATTCCTAGTCCCGGATGCTTTCTATGATATTCTTGAGTCCCTGTATCTGTCTGTGATGGGGTGCTCCATTCCCAACGTGTCCCAGGCAGGTTCCTGTATGGTGGGAGAAGATGGACCCCTGGCTCCCAGCTAGGGGCCCAGGCAGGCCTTCCAGGTGGATGCAGGGCTCCCTTTCACGCTGTAGGCATCACCAAGGTCCCAGTTAATATAGGAATGTCTTTCTCCAGGAGGCCCATTTGCCTGCTCTGGTAGGGGCACTGTGGCATGGAACCCTCAAAAGGACAAGGACTGTGGCTGAAACCCCCCTTCTAAGTGACTCTCCCTTGTAGAGTACCGCTTTCTGGACTCCTGTCATGACATAGGCAGGACCGAAGCCATCCACCCGCTTGATCTGGGGCTTCAGGCAAACTGAGTGAATGAAGTGAACATTATGGCAGGAAAATCTGGTGTCTTTTTCTTCCTCCCCTCAAAATCTCCCTAGCCCTCATCTGACTGGCGGGAAAATGGGTGAGAAGGTGGGTGGCCTCGCGTTGGGGGTGGTTCTCAGGGGCGGTGTCCTCAGGCCCTCACCCACTCCCCACTGCCCGCTTGCAGAGCAGCACGTGCTGGCAGAGCTGGAGCGGCAGGCGGTGCTGGTGTACACGCCTTCCCGCAAGGTGCACGGGAAGCGCCTGGTTTGCTACGACGACCGCTACATCGTGAAGGTGGCCTACGAGCAGGACGGCGTCATCGTCTCCAATGACAACTACCGGGACCTGCAGAGCGAGAACCCCGAGTGGAAGTGGTTCATCGAGCAGAGGCTGCTCATGTTCTCCTTCGTCAACGACCGGTATGGCCGGCGGGCATCCTGACACTGAGGGTGGGGGCGGGGCAGAGGCGACGCTGCTTCCAGGCAGTGGGACTTGGGGTCACCCAACCCCACAGACAGAGCTCCCCCAGGCCTGCTTTCTCCGCAGGTGCCTTCCCCAGTAGGGGAGCTGCTTTGCTCTGACCTTAACTGTTCCCAGGGCCACATCTGACTCACCACAGAGATGCCCAAGTGGTGGGCCAAGCATGGAAGCATGTGCTCAGGGCATCACCTCCTTCAAAAAACAGAATGGCATGCTTCAGGATACTGAAATAGTCATCGTGGGCAAAATCTGTTTTGCCTTTCACTTATTTCAGGTTTTTGTCTTTTTTTAAAAAAAAGTTTTAAATTACATATGGGAGTGGGCAATGGAATTTTTTTTGTTTTGAGACAGGGTCTTGCTCTGTTGCCCTGGTTGGAGTGCAGTGGCATGTTCATGGCTCACTGCAGCCTCGAACACCTGGGGTCAAGCGATCCTCCTGCCTCAGCCTCCCAAAGTGTTGAGATTTTAGGTGTGAGCCACTGAGCCCTGCCCAGAATCTTTTCTTTTGGGCTGTAAAGATCTCCACCTGCCTGGCCCAGACTGTCTCCATACCTCTGGGATGAAATGTTCAGGAGAACCTGGCTGGTTCATGGAGCCCTGAAATAGTCCCCTTGCATCAGTTCATCCCAGACCAACTGGCCATGGCTGGGGGCGGAGCAGGACACCGGGGCCACAGGCACAAACCGCTCAGCAGGGGGCAAGGACAGACCCTGGCGAGGAGGGAAGGTCTGGAGGCCAGAACAGAGCGTGACAGAGCACAGCCAGCGCAGCTGCTGCTCCCATGTCCACTTCTGTTCCAGGCGGTAGCCTCGCGCTCATTCTGGGCCTTCTGACTGACTTTTCGGAACGCAGCTTGAGACAAACTCCTGAGCTCTGCGGGGGCAGGGGCTGTACGTCTTACGTGCGGTGCCCCCATCCTGCCTGGCCCACAGGCGTGCAATAACTAGCTGTAGAGGAACTCCCGAGTGAATGGCTGTGGCCCGGGGAAGGGGGATGGGGAGAGGGGTCTGGGCTCAGGCTGCCTGCACACGGCCAAGCACCTCCTGACTTCTGATCCAGGGACACAGTGTGATGTTTGAGAAGGAGCTGGGGCTTTGGAGCAGGCAGGTGAGGTTTCCATCTGAGTCCCTGCCACTTACTGTCTGGGGGTCAAGGGGGAACCACTCAACCTCTCTGAGCTGAATGTTCTTCACTTGGAAAAGGGATGAAAAATAATAGCACCTCTGAGATCATTGTGAGGACCAGAGAGAATTGTGCCCCAGGAGTGGTAGCAGCTGCTCTTAGGACATGGTGCCCCAGCGGGTACTGTGGTCCCCACAGCCACCCGCTTGTGCAGCCGTGGAGGTGGAGGGGCAGAGGCACGGCAGCAGCGCCCTGCAGGAGCCCCCACTGTCATTTCAGCTACAAAAGGCCAGTGGCTCTCACTGTCCAGCTGTGGCCTGGAGTCAACTGGCTGGTCTGCTAACTGTGGGCTCCAGAAAGCCTCACTGTGCTCTCAGGGGCATGGCCATCTCTGGCCTGATGACAGCCTGGGGCCAGGGCCAAGTCCTTTTGATGCACTGCCTCCGTTATGGGCCTGCCAGAAGGCAGGGCCTGCCGCCCACTTGTGAACGAGGGCGCCCGTCCTGGTGCCCTGGGCACGTCCACAGGGCCCTCTTGGCACAGCTCCTACTCCTGAGAGAGCAGGAGAGGAAGTCTTTGGGAACTTTTAATAACCACAGTGGGCGGCTCCCCAGATTCTTGGTCAAGGCCCAACTCTGAGAAGCCAGCTGTGCAGCTGGGAGCTGAGCTGCGGAGGTGACACAGGGCCGGGGATCATCCAGCTCCCTGCAGAGTGAGACTTCAGCATGACTGTGGACTTTTAGGGGGACAGCCACCCATAAAACCATCTCCTCCCCGATTTGGAATCCCAATCTCTCTGCAGAACCTTTGTATGACCTGGAAGTGTCTCTGGAAACAAAAGCATTCATATAAAAAGTGGACCTTACCCAGCGAAGGGTGTTTTCCTTCTGAGGAATTGGATTTTCCCTGCTGAGCCCTTGAGCGAGTATTCCCTTCCTCTTTAGGGCTCCATGCCAGGGAGGAGTGAAGGGCGGGTCGGGGGCAGGGCAGCCCTGGAAACAGACCAGACCCTGTGCTCCCATAGTTTGCAGAGGAGGAGGTTAGGTCAGCGAGGAGGCTGTATGTGCAGGCAGCACCTTCCTCACTGATCCAAACTCCCTGTTCCCACTGAACCTCTTCGCCTGGAGGTTCACAGCCCAGAGCTGTGTTTGGCACCGCGTGAAACACAGGAGAAATGAGACCTAAGCCTCAAGGAGTCCATACAACTCTGAAACTTCTGGAACTGGGTTTTTTATTTGTTTATTTAGAGATAGAGTTGTCCAGGGTGGACTCCTGGCCTCCAGGGATCCTCCCTCCTCCTCCCTAGTAGCTGGGACTTACAGGCACAGGACACCACGCCCAGCTTTTCTGGAACTGCTTGTTAACCTCATAGAGGTTTGTAACCTTTTGTTGAGGACAATGGGAAGCCAGGGGAGCCCTTAGAGCAATTACGCTTCCATTTTCCTGGGTAAAAATCACCTGGGAAGTTCTTCAAATGCAGATTCCTGGACAACTTCAGATTCTGATGAAGCAGGTCTTGTGTGAAGCTCTGAGACTGAGACTGTGTTTTAAATTTAATTTAATTAATTTATTTATGTATTTACTTTTTTGCCAGGATCCCACTCTGTCACCTAGGCTGGAGTGCAGTGGCATGAGCATGACTCACTGCGGCCTCCATCTCCCAGGCTCAGCCATCCTCCCACCTCAGCCTCCTGAGTAGCTGGGTCTAAAGACATTCACTACCACACCTGGCTGATTATCTTTTATTATTATGTTTTTAGACAGAGCTTCATTCTTGTTGCCCAGGCTGGAGCGCAATGGCACGATAGTGGCTCACTGCAACCTCTGCCTCCCGGGTTCAAGCAATTCTCCTGCTTCAGCCTCTGAAGTAGCTGGGATTACAGGCGCCCACCACCACGCCTGGCTAATTTTTTGTATTTTTAGTAGAGACGGGGTTTCACCATGCTGGCCAGGCTGGTTTTGAACTCCTTACCTCAGGTGATTTGCCTGCCTCGGCCTCCCTAAGTGCTGGGATTACAGGCGTGAGCCACCGTGCCCTGCCTCTTTTTTAAAACTTTTTATAGAGACAAGTTTTCACTATGTTGCCCAGACTGGTCTTGAACTCCTGAGCTCAAGGGATCCTTCCCAAAGTGTTGGGACTACCATGTGAACCACTGCACACAGCTGACTGCATTTTTAAGTTGCTAGGTGATTCTGACACTGCTTGCTTGAATCACAGCAGGAGAAACACCCAAAGAGGCCCAGAGCTGTGCTGTGTGCTCTGCATGGGGTTCAGTGTGAAGGAGAGGTTTTGCTTGAAGATGCTGTGACATCCGCTGGGTGATGGTGGGCCCAGGCCGAATGCTTCCTGGTGCTCTCAGGGAGCTTGGGCCTGCACTCTTTGTACAGGTGCTGGTGCCAAATCCCAGGTGGCCTTGCAGTTGCCTCTGTGCTTATTTTCCAGGTTCATGCCTCCTGATGACCCCCTGGGTCGCCATGGACCCACTCTGAGCAACTTCCTAAGCAGGAAGCCGAAGCCCCCAGAGCCATCCTGGCAGCATTGTCCCTATGGTGAGTAATGCCCAGTGCTTCGCCAGCCCTGTTCAGGGTCTTGTGTGGGGGCAGTACAGAAGCACAGACAAAAGCACTGGCCTGGGCTCAGCAGCCTGGGTGCTTGCCCGAATTCTGCCCTCCAGCTGTGCCACCCTGGAGAGTTAACTTTCCTGACAGGGTTATTGTAGAACTGACATCCTGGCAGGTGATGGCATGGGGACGAGGGTCCCTTGCCAGGGTCAGATGCAGGGGTCTCACACATAGCAAAGTTGTGCCTGAGAAATGGGGAGGCTGGATGCACACCCAGCTCCGGGTCTCAGTCCCTTTACCTGGCCCCTGGCAGCTTCTGTCCTCACTCCGCCCAGCTCCCCACCCTTCCACCTATGGACTGTGGTCACTGCTATCCATAAAGAGCTAAGCATTTATCCCAGCACCCTGGGGGATGCCAGCCTTCTAGCCAGCTCTTTCACTGACTTGCTTCACTAAGTTATTTGATGTCTTGAAGTTCAGTAAAGACTTGGGTGACATTCAGTCATTTCTTTTTAGAATTAGGTGACCATACATACATTCAGCCTGGCTCCTCCTGCCCCCTTTCACTCTCAGAAGCCCTGGGTTTGGATATTTGTTCAGGACTCTGTTAGAACAGCATGCCGGGAGAGGGCAAGGGTTAACACAGGGAACATGGAGAACGCTGGGGACTGAGGCGGCATTGCAGGCTCAGCCTTATGCCCTGAGCACCCACGCTCTACCGCCCTCTCCCTAAGCCTGGCCCTATCCACGGGGTCCCTGGGGAAGTGGAGGCTGAAAGTCTTTGAATCCAGAGATTTGGTCTTAGTCCCTGGTCAAAGGGACCTGGGACCGACACTCCTCTGCGGACCCTGGGATTAGTGTGTCCAGCAGCCCCTCTCCCAGGCCGCCCGCGCGCCCCTGGGCACTTCTCCCCACTTCGGCCCAGCGCCCAGATCCTGAGGCGTTTCCAGAGCGCTAAGTCCGGAGTCCAGGGCGGCCTGGGGGCCTGTCTGGAGGAATCTCCACCTAGATGCCGCGGGCGGGCACTCCCTAGATGCACCAGGCAGCACCACCTCTCTGCGCCCCGGCCTCACGCCGTGTCCTCTCTGCCCTTGCCCCTTTCAGGCAAGAAATGCACCTACGGCATCAAGTGCAAGTTCTACCACCCGGAGAGGCCGCACCACGCGCAGCTGGCGGTGGCCGACGAGCTCCGCGCCAAGACTGGCGCCCGGACTGGCGCTGGCGCCGGTGCCGAGGAGCGGCGGCCTCCGAGCGCCGCGGGAGGCCCTGCAGGAGCCCGGGCGGTCCCCCGGGAGCCGATTGCTCACAGCCTCCCGCCAGCGCGGGGGTCCCTGGACCTGGCTGCCCTGCGGGGGAGCTTCTCTCGCCTGGCCTTCAGCGACGACCCGGGGCCCCTGGGGCCGCCTCCCCTGGGCCCTGCCTGCGGCCTCGCGCCCGGACTGGGCGGGCCCGACTGGGTGTCCGCGGGTGGCCGGGTGCCCCGGGTTTCGCCATCTTCGCGGGCGGGCGGCGCTGCCACCTCCGAGCTGCCCAGCCTTGGGGCGCCGGGGCCAGGCCCACCCGGCCTCCCTAGCCCTCAGAACCCGTTCTCCCTGGGCGACCTCCCGCCCCCACCCGGCCTGCAGCTCCAGCCGCGGGGCGAACACCGCCCCAGGGATCTGCACGGGGATCTGCTGCCCCTGCACAGGCAGCCCGAAGACCCATGGGCCCGTCCGCCCAGCTCCGACCGCTTCCCGGGGTGCTCCGCTTGGGCGGAGCCGGCCTGGGGCAATGGCGCCACTGGGGGACTCTCAGGGTACTCTGTCGAGGACGGCGAGGGGGACGCGCGCGCCCAGGCTCGCCTCGCGCTCTACAGCGTCTTTCCGCGCGACCACGTGGACGGCGTGATGGCCGCATTCCCCACGCTCTCCGACTTCTCCAGGCTCATCCTCCTGGTCCAGAGATCCCAAAGCGCGCGGGCGACCCTGGGCAAGCCCTAAGGGACCACCACGCTCTTGCAGAGAATGGCCCAGCCTCACCTTGCGTCTTGGACGGGTGGACCAGTGGTTGCCAGCCTTGACCTGAGTGGGCCCACCTTGGCACCCCCGTTTCTTTAAAGATGGTCAGGGACGCCTGCTTCCACCTCCTTATTGGGGTTGGGTGGGGGCCTGGTGGCACTTGGTGACCCTCACTGAGGCTGGGGCCTGCTGCGGGGAGGTCCCCCCACTTCCGTGGAGGGAGTGATTTTCCACGTGCACGGAGACTGCAGCTCCAAGCTGCAGTGGAATCCACAAGTGGGTCACAAAATCAATTTAGTGGGTCACCCCCACAAACACAGCGGACTGGGACAGCTCAGAGCACACCCTGTGCAATCAGGCTGAGTCTGAACTCTTGTTACCTAGCCTGTGCTCCCACCCCCTTGGCAGCCATGTAACTAACCTTAGTGTGGGTCGTGGTCAGAAGTTTGACAAAGACTGGTGATTGGTCTTGAATTTCATTACATCAGATAATGTTGGAAATACCAGTCAGGTGGCCGGGGGAGGTTTGCCATCCAGAAGTTTTCATGTTAGCTATTGCTAACCCCACCTGCAAGGGGAGCCCAGACTTCAGGTGTGGGCTCTGCTGTGCTCGGAATTGTGTAGCTGTATCTTGCTGGGGACGAGTGGAAGGATCGCGTTGTCCCAGGGCCACCTTCTGGGGCCTTCACTCCCCTTCACACACACTTATACCACACCACACAAATACAAGCACACACAAGTATGCAGTCTCACACATGTACACACTCACACACATCACACAGACACATCTTTTGGCTCAGGGTTAAATATTTCCATTTTTTTTTTTTAGACATTCATCATGTCAATTTCCAGAACAGGCCTTCTACTGTACCAGCTGAGTATCCGTGGCTGCCGCCTCCTCCTCCTGCTCCTCCTTCTTTTCAAAAGAAACAGAGCTTCAGCCTCATGCGGGTGGCTTACGTCTGTAATCCCAGCACTTTGGGAGGCTGAGGCAGGCAGATCACTTGAGGTCAGGAGTTCAAAACCAGCCTGGCCAACATGGTGAAACCCTGTCTCTACTAAAAATACAAAAAATCAGCCAGGCATGGTGGCGTGTGCCTGTAGTCCCAGCTACTCAGGAGGCTGACATGGGAGAATCTCAACCCAGGAGGTGGAGGTTGCAGTGAGTTGAGGTCATCCCGCTGCACTGCAGCCTGGGCAACAGAGTGAGACTGTCAAAAAAAAGAGTCTCACTCTTGAGTACAGTAGTATGATCATAGCTCACTGCAGCCTCAAACTTCTGGACTCAAGCAATCCTCCTGCCTCAGCCTCCTGAGTAACTGGGACTGTAAGCATGAGAGCCACACTTCACAGCTAAACTGGAGTTGGGTGATTCAGGACTTTTGCTCTGAAATCTACAGGTCAGCAGAAAGCTGTCATGAGCCCAGTCCTAGAGTTTACTGCCATCTTCCTGGTGCCATTTCTTCCAGTCAGCTCCTGCTCTCAGTTTGAGGAGAAGGGGCCTACCCTTTTGCAGTGGCTAAGAAGTGAGATGGTGCTGCCAGAGTGTCAATCCCCAAATCCTCAGGGGGCCCTGGCCGCTCCTGGCAGCATCCACCCATTCTGGCCATACTAGCCCCATGCCAGCCTTATGCCAGCCAGACTATGGCTCATTTGTTCACTAGAGGGCTTGGTAGCTTGGCAGTTTTGGGAGAAGCATGAGGCACTTCCCAGGGGAAGACCAGCCCCCAGCCCCACAAGCTTCCTGTAGCCTGTTGGTGCAGAGGGAACTTTTGCCAGTTTATTACTAGATTTCATGAGATGTTGGCAGGCCTGGGGGGCACCACAGAGAAAGTGCGTTCCTAGCCCATTCATACATGCTAAATGACACCCCTGGGGGAATCTCCACCGAGAGGCCACGGGCGGGTACTCCCTAGATGCACCAGGCAGCACCTGGAGTCCAGAAGTTTGAGGCTGCAGTGAGCTATGATCATACCACTGTACTCAAGAGTGAGACTCTTTTTTTTTTGACAGTCTCACTCTGTTGCCCAGGCTGGAGTACAGCAGGATGACCTCAGCTCACTGCAACCTCCGCCTCCTGGGTTAAGAAAACAACAGTGATGTCAGGTTTTTCTGAGACTCCTTTGATCATTTTAAACCAGATTCTTAGCATGGCTTGAGCCAGATCTGTTCCTCACCCCCTTTTTTCCAAAGAGGATGGTGTACCCGCAATTTTACCATATCATATTGGAATCTCAGTCCTGAAGATGGTCCACTCTTTGTAAATAAGTTGGATTTTCCTCATGATGTGTGTGGGTTTTTTTTTTAATATCAATTTTATTTTTTTGAGACAGGGTTCTGCTCTGTCACCCGGGCTGAAGGGCAGCAGCGCGATCAGGGCTCACTGCAGCTTTGACTTTCTGGGCTCAAGCAATCCTTGTGCCTCAGCCTTCTGAGTAGCTGGGACTACAGGTGCACAACCACATCCAGCTGATTTTTTCTATTTTTTGTAGAGACCCAAAGCATTGGGATTACAGGCATGGATTACGGGAACTTTATTTTTATTTTTAACTTTTTGACAAGACACGCTTTCTATTAGAGCTGCTTTTTGTCTCCCTGGCTCAGTCTCCTGATGTAGAATCATTGTGTTGCTGATTTTCAGTTGAAAATGTTTAAACTGCTTCCTTTGAGAATAAGTTTGAGTTTTAGTAAGCTGTAAAGCTATTTGGTTCACTGTGAATAAGACAAGTACACACAAAAAAGTGAAAACACAGTACGTTTCAAGTGTAATCCCCTTTGGAATTTTTCCAAAGTTTTAGTATATGTCTTTGTGACACAAAAACAGATGGGACAGGTAAATAAAATGTTCCTAGTTGCATAGCTGTTACTGTGCTTCAAAAATAAATCAGTTTTACCACAGCTGGATTCTTTATTGTCAAGGTGTCTATTAGTTTCTCCTACTGGCTTTCCCTCTAGATTGGTCTGCCCTGTTAAAAATTGTGCATGTAGGCTGGGCGTGGTGGCTCACGCCTGCAATCCCAGCATTTTGGCTGGTTTCATGAGGCCAGGAGTTTGCGACCAGCTTGGTCAACATGGTAAGACCCTGTCTCTACCAAAAACACAAAAATTAGCTGGATGTGGTGGCACATACCTGTAATCCCAGCTCCTCGGGAGGCTGAGGGAGGAGAATTGCTTGAACCTGGGAGGTAGAGGTTGTAGTGAGCTGAGATCGCACCACTGCCCTCAAGCCTGGGTACCGAGTGAGAATGTCTCAAAAAAAAAAAAACCAAAAACAAAGTGGGTGTGAAGAAGACTGAGGCTGTGGCGGGTCTCAGCAGTTGCGGGTCCGTGCTGTTCCACCTGGGGCGACATGAAGGACTCAAATCCACCTTTTCCAGGAGAAGCAGTGAGGCCACAGCGAGGACCTCCCTTTGCTGGATGTGCAGCAGGCTGTTCCCAAGGACGCAGGCTGCTTACCCATTTCCTAGACTTCAAAAATCCTCATTACAACTATGAAGCCTTCTTATAGAAGCCGCTCTTCTAGTTTAAACCTGCTGCAGAGCTCTCCTTGACTGATCAAACCTGAGGCTCCTGCTGTCCTGGGTTTGCCCTGGGGCAGCTTCCCAGAGGCCTCTGGAAGGGGGGTGGGGGCGGAACTGCAGAATGTCAGGGGTTGAAGGGTAGAAGCAAGACAAGCCACTCTAGTTGGCATTCTTCCAGATAAAATGGGTCCAGCTTTGGATCCAGCTTTGGTTTGACATTGAGCTCAGCTGAGGAGCTGTGCCCCAACTGCAGCTGGCATGAGATGAGGCCACAGAGGCTCCGGCTTCTGGGGAAAAAGTCCACCTATGGGGTGGGGTGGGGATAAGACCATAGAAGTCAGGGGTGGGGGAGGGAGGCATTAAGGTGAAGAAGACACAAGATCGGGGCAATTGAGAGAGGGGTTCTGGGAACTGGAGCAATTCCTTGGAATCACAGAGCCTACCAGGAGAGATTGTATAGAGCCAGGACCAGTGACATAATCTGTGGGACTCTGTGCAAAATCAAAACACAAGGCTCCCTGTTCAAAATGTGCAACAATTTCAAGATGCCAGCAGAGTATGAAACCAAACACGGGTTCCTTCTAAGCTCAGGGCCCTGTGCGAATGCACAGGTCACATGCCTAGTAATCCAGCCTGCCTGGAGTTACCTAAAAGACAAGCAAGATAACATCCTCAGTGCTGAGTGTATTCAGAACAAAACTGAAAGAAGTCAGAGGCCAAGACGCGTGTACTTCATAGCGGGAAAAGGCCATGGCATCGGAGCAGGTGCTGGTCCCCAACTGCTACCTGAGGGTCTGCCTGCTGCAGCTACCCGAGGACTAAGTGGGGCTCCCTTGGCTTTCCCTGGAAGGGGCTAGAGGGGCGAAATCAAGGGACTTGGGCAAATCACACTCTGAATCATCCATTTCCAAATGAGTGAGTGCTGTCAGTCGGGGTAGCTCTAGAATCATCCTAGTTTGTATTAGCCAAGGTTCTTGGCTACAAGTGTGGGTCACAAAACCAAATGGCAGGAGGCTAGCGGTGGAAGGCAGCTGACTGGAATCAGAGCCTCAAAACCGTCAGGACTCTTGTCTGTTAACTTCTGTACCTGTTTCCTTCTGTTTAGTCTCTCCTTCCAAGGTTTTTCCTGCACAATGAGAGCCATTCTCATGGTCGGCTTAAGCACACATCCTTCCAACTAAAGGACTCAAGAGACGGTTTCAGAAAGATCCCAGGGAAGGATTCTGATTGGCCTGGCTTAGGTCACGTGCCCACCCCTGGCCCCATCACCATGGGATAAGGAAATACTACAATTGGCCCAGCCTGGATCTCAGGCCCACCTCTGGCTAGGATGAGGACATATCTGGGCTTGTCACCTCGTAGCCGAACCCACATGGCTGGTGGGAGCTTGGGGAAGGGAGAGGAGCAGTGCCCTGAAAGAAGGAGGGACACTGTTTAAGCAGACAACACGCATGGCCACAGCAATGTGCAAACCTGGGCACTGCGACAAGGCTTCGGATGGCCCCGCCCTCCTCCACCCTCTACCCTGGTCCTATTTGAGAAAGGGGCGGCTGGGTTAGGAAACCCTTGTTTTTGCCCATCCATAGACAACATGGTCTCCTGTGGGAGGAAAGTGGAAGGGCCGCTGCCACAGAGCCAGAGGTATCACCATGTTAACCTCACCAATGCAGGGACTGTGGCCAGAGGGCCCCTCCGGTGGCATACCACCAAAAACCCCTGTCAAGGAGGAAGAGGCTCTGCAGAGTCAGAAGGTGACTTTGAGTCACTTCTGAACAGATGCCCTCTAAGCTCAAGAAGCTCCTGGAATCACAGTAGTTCATCCCAGCCACCTGAAAATGGGGATGGGGGCCTGACCCAGTGGGATAATTAATTTGTCCTGAGTTCTTGGGGACAGCTCTCTGTCCTCATGGAGGGATGACACACCTATCCCAATGCCCAGAAACAGGAAAGATGCTGGGTAAATGAACAGAAAGACAAATAGGCCCAGTGCTCAGAAGCCACCTGAACACTGTGCTTATTAACTGGCTGGCTGACATGGACTGACTGACTGTGATGGGCTACCTGGCTGACACTGATTCACCGACCCTGTCCGACCAGTTGACAATGACTGGCTGGCTGACACTAATTGACTGACACTGACAGACTGATTGACAAACACTGACCACCTGGCTGACAGACTCTTACAATGTTGGCCAACTGACACTGACTCACATTGGCTGACTGACACTGGCAGACTGACACTGGTGGACTGACACTAGCTGACACTGGCTGACTGACATTGGCTGTGTGACACTGGCTGACACTGACACACTGGCCTACTGACACTAG